GGAATATGTTTAGTCTTTGCTAATTAAAATGTGAAATAATTTGCTCGACTAAAATCTCATTCTGTAGCCTCTTCCTTAGACAACCTTTGATTGCCGAAACCAGTAGCTGGTTCGTGAGAAAAATGGAAAATGTCAGATGTTTGATAGAAAAAAGTAAAAAGTAGTATTTTTCTTGGGCAAATAATTTATCAGAGTCGCGTGTTCATTGGTGTAGTTTCAACACCCTGGCCTTTATAAAATTGTATCTCATTTAACAGATAATTGTTTGATTAATTATTTTGATTGAAACTGAAATTTTTATTTTAATACAGTCCATTTGCACAAATGTCTGGTAAACTATTAAACAGATGTCTTCCAATGCCCAGTCGCCATTGATCTCTATCCAGCCAGAGATCCTCTTCCAGTCCCCGGTCTCTTATCTCCTTGTCTATCCCCTCTCTCCAGCTTTTTCGTGGTCTTCCAATCAAGAATCTGTTTTGGCAGTCTCTCATCAGACATTCTTTGTACGTGGCCACACCATTTCAGTTGTTGTGTTCTTATGTCGTCAACGATTGTCCTATTTATACCCATGATTTCTCGAATTCTGTTGATAGTTATTCTTTCCGCTCTAGATTTTCCTGCAGCACGCCTCGAGAAATCCATTTCTGTCGCTTTGAGGGTACGTACGGTTCTTGTATTGTATATTTTACAGCATTTTAATTAAAGTCTGTCCAGAATTTGATTTTATCCTTTAGCTGCCATACTTCGCTTCCATAGGAGAAAATGCTTTTTACAATAATTGTGTTGTATATTAGGTGTTTATTGATTTTACAGATATCGTTATTCCATAGAACACTGTTTAGCATAGATATTGCTTTTCTTCCTTGAGCATTTCTATCTTTAATAGCTTCATCTAGCGTTCCACTACTTGACATCTTTACTCCCAAATATTTGTATTTTTCGCAACCTTCAATAGTTTGACCATTTTTCAGTGGCAGATTTTGTTGGGGTCCGCTAACGCATAGCATTTCTGGCCCTGCCATTTTCCCATTATCATCATTTATGTATGCTTCTCTATTATTGAGAAGATTGTATATGAAATTGTTTACCTTTATGGATGTATCTAGTTCTTTCAAAGCATTGTATAATTTGTGTATGTTTACTTAATCATAAGCAGCTGTTAGTTGTTATATCCAGAAAAACCACAAGTGTATCAATTTTTTGATGATTTTTTTTTTTTAAATTTTTACTGTTAGGTATGATAAACATTCTACGCATCCTTGCCTTTCCTGAAACCAATTTGTAATTCCGGCAATTCCTTTTTATTCTCCAATTTCTATTCCAATCTGTTTTTTATAATCGCTGAAAGTATTTTTCCAGAGCAAGAGGTTAATGCTAAGGGTCTGAAGTTTTTTGCATCTGCACTGTCTTTGTTGTCCTTCAATACTGGGAAAACGTAGATTTTCTTCCATTGCATTGGTATCTTATTCTCTTTGAGGATATTATTGAATATTCTAAGTAGATTTTGTTTTCATAAAGTTGGTAAATATTGGATCATGGAGTATGTTATGTTGTCCAGTCTAGGGGCCGAATCTTTTTTCTTTTGCAAAAAATGTTCCAGTTCAGAGTTATTTTTTCTTTCTCTTCCAATTGTAAATTTTAATGTCTTCTATCCATTGTGAAATCTGGGTTTATGTTCACCTGGTTCAAGTTCTTAATTATCTGTATTGCTATTTCCCGCTCTGGAGCTTTATTTCTTGATTTAATTTTCCCTTTCAGGAATATTCTTATTGTTGTCCAGATTTTCTAAAATTGTGTATTTCTATTTATATTTACACAATATTCCTTGAAGCTGTTCTTTTTCTTTTCTTTGAATTTCTTTTTTGTCTGAGCCGTGACTCTCTTTACTTGGATGAAATTTTCCATTGAATATTCATATTTGAGTTTATTCATAGCTGTTTTCCTTTTATTTAAAAACTGACATTCTTCATCCCACCATGGGACCGGATCTTTATGCTTTCTTTCCACAGCTTTTTTTCCGGTATTGTTTTTCCAGCAACTTCTAGTATATCTTCTTCCAAATCAGAATATGATGGTGGACTGTTTCCCAGAAATCCAGCTAACAGTTTGTCATGGTATCTTTCCCAATTTGCCTTTTTTGTATTTCGTCTAGGTTTGCTTCTTTGTATTGACTCAATCTCTGTATGTCTCAAGGAAATTAATATTGGATAATGGTCTCTGTTCTCACAGTCTCCTAAAATTTTCCATTTCATTACTGTGGCCATAGAGCTGGATACCAGAGAAATATCTGGAGCTGATTTATTTTGGCTCGGTATTGTCAGTCTAGTTGGGGATTCATGATTTATTATTATTTGACGTTTCAAAGTTTGCCACTGAACTTCCCCATAGGGGATGTTGGCCGTTGAAATCTCCTAGTATTAATTTTGGTTCAGGTAGGTACCTATATTATCAATAAGATCCTTGATCCAATTGTCTCTGATTTTTGTTGATAGTGGGGCATAGAAATTGAGAATTGAAAGGTTTGGCTTCATGATTTTTATTGCCTGCACTTGAAGGTTTCCTGGAAAATCATAATTTGACAGATCATACTCCTTATATTCTATGGGGTCCATTATCAAACATGCAATACCTCCCTTACCATCTTGTCTATCTTATCTACAAATTTTGTATTGTCCAATCCTTAAATTGTAATCTTTTTTCAGCCATGTTTCATTCAAAGTTATAATTTCAGCTTTTTGTTCTTGTATTAAAATTTTCAAGTTGTCTATGTTTGAATTGATTGATCTTATATTCCATTGTAGAATTTTAACTACTCTATCTGGTGTGTTATTCATGGGGTTTTTGGCTTGTTGTGTTTTTCTGGCTTTCACCAGTGGATATCTTCAGTTAAATCTTCTATGTAGTTATTTTTGTTAAGTTCAAATCTGTGAATGACATGTTTTTAATCTTTGCTATTAATCTCTTTCTGATATCGTCATCCCCTGATGGTTTCCGGGATGAGTCTTGTGGTATTCCTGTGTGTCTGGTAGTTCTTGTGAGAAACTTATTGATGTGGTTGGTGTCCTCGTTGCTTGAGGAAAAAGAAAATTGTTTATATCATCCACGTTTATATGTTTTACAGACACTTTGTTGCTGTAAGCAGGTCTGATTTCTATTGTTTGTCTTTCTTGCCTATCTTGGAATATCTGTCTATTTTGGCTGATTTTTGTAAAACCTGGGATTTATTAATTTCTTCTGGTTCAAATTCTTTACATATTCATCTCACTATTCCTTTACATGCGATCCAGGTATTCAGGAATGTATAGTATATTTTCTATCTATTAACTGTTAATTCTTACTTGAGAATTAAGTTGTTCGCTGCCCTTGGCGTTTAAAATCCTATAATAACCTTATTTTTTCCTTTTTTCATTGGTCTGTTGACATTTTCTTATTTCAAATCATATATTATTATCTTAGCAAGAGTCATAAGGTGCGTAGTACCCTATGTTGTTTCCCTGAGGACCCTGAACTACTACCTGAAATGGGCCTAATGCATTATCGTCATATTTATATTGCTTCTTCAATTTATATTCTGATTTATTATTCTTTGTTGTGATCTCCTTATTGCTATTTACATTAATGTCCAATGGGGGGTCATCCGGTTTGATTAGTATTTTCGCGGTAAATTGAAAATTTCAAAATTTGCACGTGCGGTTTAAACAAGAGCTCGGTCGAATCCCTTGAAGAGTTCAGTAGAGGAAAGAATGAAAGATATTGCAAAGATTACTCAAATTGTCGCAGAATATATTGCTGAATAATTTATTTGCTTTTTTTCCATGATAAGCCTCAGGTTCACATTTTGAAATCCCTTCGACAGCCAATTCAACAGCCAGATCGCCTATGACATAATATAGGCTTAACATTTTATTAGAAATTACAAAATGGTAAGAAAGTTTTTCTAAATTGCTTGTTGCTTATAAGCACGTGTTGATAATTAATGACCATGTATCTCTGACTTTGAAATAATTTATCACGTATAAATAGTGATACAAAAGCACATTAATGTTAATCCAACATGACTGGATAAATCCAGATTACTGAAACAAAAAAAGGCTCCAATATCTATGTATTGCTTAAAAGTAAATAATTGACAAGTTTTATTCTGACACACTTTTAACCTAAATTAAGACACGATATTTAATAAAAACTTCTCATTATAAATTTTGTTTATCAATAAAGTATTTATGATATCGGCTGATAAAAATTAAATAATAATCCTTCAAACGTGATTTTAACACGTGAGCAGCACGCCGCAAACTTAAGCTATTTGTTTATTTATTATACTAGTTGCCCAAGAAAGCTTTAGAATTATTGATTTAATCATAGAGACTTGAGCATAAATATAATGGTAATGCCTTGATAAGTAACAAAGTACATTGTTACGTTATTGGCTGCCGTGTGAGCACAAGTATTCTGTAAACTTTGGCACAAGTACCCCAATAAAAAATTCAAATTTTGTTTACCAAACGCGAAAATTAATTGGCCTAATATCTTTTTAGTATTGTTTAAATAAATAAGATATAAATGTAATCGTGGCTTATTTGTTGACATGTGATGCCTATAGTAACAGCAATTATTGTTGATATAAGTGCCAAAAATAACACAATAGATATTTTTAATTTCATATTATTTACTTATGTAAAATCGTAATTGCATCGTCATGAGTAATAGCCTGTTGCGTTTTTGTTTATGTTTAAAATGTTTTCGTGTAAAATCTTTTTAAGCCAATGCTAATCAATATTAATTCCGATATTTATTCTCGCATTTGTGGTTTATTTTCCACACCCGCATAAAATTTTTGTTTGCCAGTGTATTTTATTCAAGCTTTATTTGTAATGTTACTATCGCATTAGGAAAGAAACCGTGAACCAATATTTGCGCGCGCATCACCTCAATTAATATAAATATATTAGTACTTACCTAATTCAAACCAGACAAGAGTTTTAAGTCATTATCTCTCCTTAGCACCCATCTTTTTCATTTCCAAAATTTTATAATTTAAATTTACAATGGAACAAATTCCAAAAAGTGAAACCATCGCTCTTAGAAATAAACTCATTGGGTAAGAATAATTTATTTATCTTTTATAAATAATTTTAGATTAAGTGTTTTGGGGGTGTGTTAACAGAGGTGTGATCGTTCTTATACGTTAAATTTTTTAACTTATTTATATTTCCTTTAGCGGTTTAGTTTTTCAAGGCATTAGGTAGATAGTTATACCTGTAATGTAATAATTTCTCTGACAATTAATTTGCATTCTTATAACATGTTGACATTGCTACTGTCATATATTCCAAAAAACTCGATAGGTACATATTATCTATTCACAATCCGATGTCCGAAGGTAAAGGTGAAATTTATCACCTTTCAGTGCTATTTGATGGAGAAAGATGATACATTTACCTTTACCTCTGGACTTCGGATTGTGAATAGGATATACATTCGTTTTCCTCAGTAAAATTTTGTAACACAGTTACATTTTCTTGACTTCTATTGTTCTATTCGCTATATTCAATTTATATCTAGGCACAGCTACTTGGGACACTCTGGAAGAATGTCATATGTACTGAGGTATTGTGAGTAAAAGGGTAAAAGTGAGCTCCTTTACTCGTGGACGCCGCGGACTTGAGTTAGGTACTTGCTTATTTCCATTGAACTACCAATATGGAGCTATTTCACGTTCTCGTTTCAGCTCGCCTTTCAGGGCTTTCAGATTAGAGTATTTTATTCAGATTCATGTCAAATATTACTAGGCTGTTAGTTATGTAACCCTTTTATATTTGGTTTACAATGACAATTTATCTCCGGTTTAATTTCTTTTCGCATTATTCTGATAATGCTTCTTACGAATCCTCGGTGAAAAGCTGTTATAATGCTGACAAAACACATGACAGTTTTATTGTATACCTACGCAAGATTTTTCTGTCATTTGTTTGACAATGCAGGTTACCTCGATGAGACCAGGATTCCGAACCTATGATTCGATAGTATCGGCAAGCCAAATAAACTCGTGCAAAAGTAGTGGGTTCGGAATCTGGGCCCAGTTTTCTCGAAAACCAAGTTGTTTTTCGATTTGTATTATTTCCTCTAAAATTGTTAAAGTGAACTCTACAAGCCTGTTGTTGAAAGCGTTATTTCTCGATGATTGTCTGAAATTTTTCTTGGGCTTTTTCGAATGTCAGTATCATTAGGCTGCTTTTCCAATCTTCTGGTACTTTCTGATCTGTTATGAAGACATGATGTTCTTGAAAAAAGTTGGTTGGTTTTCTCTTTCGTATTTCAGCCATTTCATTGGTTATTTAGTTTGGGCCTGGGCTTTATCTATTATAAATTGAAAAAGTAGTCCATGACTCAAAGTGGAATTGAAATTTGAAATCAAAAGAAACATAGTCTTCCTCCACACTCCACGCTCATTTTTAATTGAAAAATTAAAGAGCCCTATATGTTTCGAAGCTATAGAGCTTCATCATCAGGGGCAAGTTTGCTCTTTATCTATTTTCTTGATGCCTTAGAAAGTTTCCTAACATATTATTCAATGTTCCGTCTATGTTAATATCTTCTCTCACCCAGGAGCTGTCCACTTTTCTCAATTTCTTTATACAGTTTTTCGGAATGTTCATGCACTTATTATGGGTTTGTGTAGTAGGTATCCTTTCTTAATTTCTACTTCTACGATATTCCATATCTTTGTTTCATCTCTGTACATATCTCTTCCCATCTCTTTGTTAAACTTTCCCAGTATACTTCTTTCATCTTTTGTATTTTGGCAGTTAGTTTATTTCATTCTATTTTATATAGATAGGGGCCAGTTTTATTATTATCTGTTTCCTATAGAAATTTAATGTGTGCTTTTTGCTTATGTTCACATAATTCTTCTTTCCTCAAGCTTTTTCACTTGACTTCTAACTCCTATCAAGAAATTAATTTCACCAATTCTTCAAAGTCGATTAGGTAATTTCGTAACCTGGTAATAGCTAGACCTATAGTAAATCATAACTAACCATTATTCTCACCACTATTTTTGCTGTTTTCTACCCTGTGAGTATAAGCCTCTCTCATACATTTCCATCTAATTCTATTTGGCCTGAGCTATTAATTTAAGCTAGCTGTGTGTTTTATATTGTCAAACCACCATTGTCTTGGTCTTCCTCCTCTTCTCCTCTCACCCCACGCGCGCCATCTGCCACTTTGTCACTCCATTGTTCATCCTTACCTGTTCACCATTTGAAGGTCCATACCTTCTTGGCGGCATTCTTACTTTTATCCTGCTTCTTATTCAGTGATTTTTGTCTTTCTCTTCAATTGTGTTTGTAGATATCATTCTTTCAATTATTGCGATTTGTCGTTTTAGTACTTACTCCATGGGGCGTTTGCTTGTGCAGGATTCGTGCGTTTCTGCGCAATAAATTCTGATAGGTAAGATGCATTTACTGTATAATTTGGATTTGAATTACAATGACGTTTTCGAGCTCGACATATTCTAGAGCCTTCCATAGCTGTTCCAGCCAGTCGATCTGTTTCTATTTCTTCGATTTGTTCAATGGCACTGATTGTCCAAATTATATCTATTCTATAATTCGACACTGTTCTTCAGCATTTTATGTTGGTTTGAACTTTGGTTTGACACTTTGCGAATAAATTAGATATACGTACTTATTAGATTCAGGAAACACCAGAATCAACCTTGTACTCATTCATCAAGATTTATCACGTTACCTGGGATGTCAAATAATGCTACACTGAAATACATAAAGTCCGTCGATTTTAATCTGATTCTCCAAAGAATGTGAGCTGGCGGCTTTCTACATTAGAACGTCAATGGTCGCCTGACGTCACACCTGTTTTTTCCATAAGCTTCACCCCCCGCTCCTCATACGGAAAGTGTCAGATTAAAAACGACGGACATTAAATACCTATATCAGAATCAGGGTGATAGGTACGAAAAAGTGCTGTAAATTAAGTCATGATGAGCAGCTCCAGATACCAAGGTAGCTCCAATAGTGTTAATCAGTACATAATGTACTTCCTAATGTTACCCAGCTTTCTCACTTAATCTAGAAAATAAAACCTCATAAAAATATGCCGTCGCTCTAATCATGTCATGTTCTTAGCTTCAACTCAACAAAATAGGCTCACCTCATCAATTGGCCTGTAGGCCGAATCGAAACGGTAGGGAAAGATTCTGTATTCTGTTGCTTCCAATACGCTGGAAGCATTTCAAATCTTTCCTCTAGGTTTAAAGTTTAAACCAAAACTATAAATTTTTGCGAAGCAAAAAGATGCTCTACAGCCTCTACATAATTGTTGAACCAATTTCTGGGAAAATCAAAATCTTATCATCTTTTTAGCCCATCCTGCCAACTTTTCTTCAAAAAAGACCCTCTAAAAATTGTTAGAGGACAAGGACAATATTTATACGACGAGAAAGACAATGCTTATCTTGACTGTATCAACAATGTCGCTCACGGTAAGTTTCACGATTTTATTAATCCTTTCAATTTTTCTGGGAATCAAGTACCTACTTTACCTTCAAACATATCTATTATTGGTCCATTGCTTTGATTTTTCCTTAGAAACAATCATCTATTTTCTTAAATACTAAATCAATAAAAAGACATTCGTCCATGATTGTTATCTCTAAGCACTATGCAGCTTTAAATTACCCAGTTAAAACCAGTTCATTATAACATTTATTTTTAACAAACAATTTGATTTAATCTTTAAACTAATTTCAAAATATCACTCTGCGTGCTAAATTTGCTTTTTTTTTTTAAATATATTTATAGAAAGGTCAACAGTCTCTCATTGTTATTCAATGCTTTGCTAAGCAACCATCATCCTTTATTAAATGATATTAGTTATTTAAACAAATAATACTGGCGTTTTCCACTTGCCATTTGCATTATGACGTTGTTTTAAATACTTGTTTGCTTTTATTAATAATTAATGGAAAATTAATTTGTATGTGGAAACTCAATAGTGATAATGATAAGTAATACAATACCTTTTTATAGTTGGTCATTGCCATCCAGCAGTGGTAAAAGCAGGCAGCGAGCAAATGTCAATACTAAACACCAACAATAGGTTTCTTCACGATAATATTGTACTTTGCGCTGAAAGAATCGTTAGCACCCTTCCCGAAAATCTGGAAGTTTGTTTTTTCGTCAACTCAGGCTCAGAAGCCAACGATTTAGCTCTGAGATTAGCTCAAATACACACTGGGAGAAAAGACGTCATAACTTTAGAGCAGTAAGTATTTGAAATTGCATGGTTGGCTTTATTAGGGATATTTCAGGCCTTTATTCAGACTCCTAGAAGACACTTCGGATGCGATCTTCTGATAGTTAGGAATTGCTTGATTTTGTACAGTTGAAGTTAAAACAATACCTAATAATTTATTTTTCTCTTCACTTTTTAATAACCGACACTGTACAAAATAATACACAAAAAAGTTTTGCTAAGCTAAAAAGCAAAACTTTTGAATGCATATAACACATTTCCTTTTAGACGTAGCTTTATTGCTGGATTGTGACGTTAAGAAACCGTTCTAATTCTGTTGTTTTTGTTTTTCTCTTACAGTATTAAAAAAAAATGAAGATCCCCCACAGATTCTGCTCTACTGACTAAACGAAGACGGCAGGCCTTTGAGGCGCCTCCGCAAACATGCCTGCCCTTAACTAACTGCACAACAGATTATTCATAAAAATGTATATAAAATGCCTTCTTTTGGGAATCCGCCATGACTCTGGAGAGTATGCGATTATTTCACTTGATTGTTATTATTTGCTAATATAACTAAAAAAATGTTTTTCTCGGACGTAATCGCATAATATCCGGTCTTAAATAGAGCCATTACTTTCCAAATTGGCATCAATAGATTTCAATAACAGCTCAACAATGATGCATAAGGCTTAACAATTAAATGTGATTCCAGTTTGGAATGGGTACTTTTTTTTGTATGGGGATTGAGTGGGTACCTATAGCAGAGAGATACGAATTCGTATTTTTTTAGTGCTTACCATGGCCATTTGACCTCACTGATTGATATTTCTCACTACAAATTCAATCTTCCTGGAGGCGTTGGACAAAAGGAACATGTTTACTTGGTAAGTTAAAGTAAAATAGTAAAAATAAAACGAACTCTCGCGAAAAAACTGTTACGTTTTTCTTCAATTCTGATGCTATATATGCACATATCAAATGCCACCTTTGTCCGACACATCGTAAAATTTGCAATATTCACTGCTCCCGAAATAGAAAATAGCTAGGACAACACTGGCAACAAAACAATTCCACGTTACTACAGACTCTGTCTGTAATTATTGCTTCACTAATTAACTCAAACAACTTAACTCTTTACAACTTTACAAAAATCACTACCTATCTGAAACGTATCACAGCCAATCCTCAACTTAAAACAACTAACTAATACCGGCCTATATCCGCATTCTATTCGTGTAGAATCCAGAATAAATGCGTTAATCTTTTCGCCCGAATAAAGCAGAATTTTCTAGATTCCAAGTTAGATTCTGTACATGCTGGCGAACGCGCAACACTGCCCTTCTTTTAAGGACGATCGTCCCAGTCAACTTCGCGCCCATGATATTTCGTCAATCTGACGAAATGTACAACTTTCATCTTACTCCTGGTGTTGCGCTGGACTCGATAAACCAAATCATTGATTCTCTTGATTATTCTGTAGGGTTCTTCCCATGCTGAAGACAATTTTGGGCGATAATCCTCTCTTTCTTGCTGGATTATACAGCCACACTAAATCACATTCTTGAAATCCGACTGAAATGGCTTCTAAGTCGTACCTGGTCTTTATTCGGTCACTGGCCAGAATATGCTTCTTGATTGGGATGAACGCTTCTTGATTGGGAATAGCGAAAACTTCTGGCCATTTACATGATAACCAAGATGTATTTGTTACCATGCTCTGACTCGGGGAATGGTCCGGCAACATCTATCGCTATTCGTCCAAATGGGAGACCGACGTTGTACAGTTTCATGGGCCTCCGAGATCTTAGTTTAGGGCCTTTACTGGTAGCACAGATGTCGCATTAACGTCTTCATGATAGTGAACCCAGTAAAAACGTTCCCAAATTTTGTTCAAAGTCTTGTTAACTCGAAAATGTGTTCATGAAGTTCCGTTATGTATTTCTTTTAATACATCTTCTACTCGATCTTTTGGAATAACCAGTTGGCTCTTAGTAGTTTTCCCATCGGCACTCTCCCAAACTCTTTTTAGTAAACCATTTTCTAGGGCCAGAGAGTTCCACTGAGCCTACAACGCCTTGTAAATCATATTCTTGTTCGACACTTCTCTCCATTCTGGCCTACATTCATCATTTTCTTTAAAATGTAGAATTTGTCCGACGTCCTGGTCTGCCTCTTGATCCGCTCTTATTTGTTTGGCAGTCCATTTATCATCAACGATAAGACCCGTTCTTTTCACAGCTAAACCAGTATTTTTCTCAGGGATATCGATTTTTTGATGATGCTTGCAGTCTTCTTCGCATAGCCGTCTAGACAGAGCGTCAGCATTTTCATGCAGGCTTCTAGGTTGATGTTCAGGGCTCGTGTCTCTAGATCTCCAAAAGCGTTGGGAATGACCTCTAGATGGAGGGGACATCCTTAGTCTATAGTCCCATTGCATATGTCCAAACTTATGGCAACGGTAACATTTTACTCGGTTTCTCGGAGTTAATGTTTGTTTGGAGTCCTTTTCCATTTGTCTAACTTTTAGTAATATAGTTTCTTTATTTTCTTCATAAAATTTCTCATAACCTTCTCGAAGCTACCATCCTTTTTTGCCGATTGTTTATCCTTTGGGTATTCAATGGACACTGCTCGTATTCTGGGTCGTGAGGCACCAAAGATTGCTTCCAGTTCCAATGCTCGGACAAGGGCTTCGCTACTTTGTCTGAACTTGGACATTCTTAGGTTTTCCTGGATCTTCGAATCTCTGAGACCATCAATAAACGCAGATTCTGCCATCCATTCCTTGATTCAACTTAAGTTCTAAATACTTCTTGTCTATAATGGTCTCCGAAACGCAATTCTAATGTCTGACTTAGATGCTGGTAATTCTGTTTGTAGATTGAAGCAATGGACTGAAAAAGATCTGAGGCAGGTCCTGGTAGCGCCACTATCAGTGCTGTTACTTTTTATTGATCGTTCCATCCGTGGGTATTTGCAGCACAAATTCGATATCTCCCTTGGTTTCCAAATAAAATTTTCTAGAACTTACTAGAAAATTCACTATCAGAGTCAAAATCGGTTATACAGTCACTTCCGGGGTAATTTACACAATCGGTTAAGTCTCTTCTGGTGATTGTCACTGCTTACCCTGACTAACTTTCCAAGTATTCACTATAGTGTCCACACTAGTGTCCACGCACTATTCCGCAATCGGATTTCACTTTGAAGGCCTCAAATTATAGGTATCTCACTTCCGACACCAATGTCACGTCTCGGGGGTGCGTGTCATAAATTCCAAAATCAAAGTCCAATTACAATAATCACTATCTTAAACGTATCACTGCCAATCTCAAACTTAAAACTACTAATATCGGCCCTTATATACCGAGTGTCCCTAGAGAGTGCCCCCCCCCCTGTAACTTTTTTATTTTTCAAGATGAAAAATTGAAATTTGGTATGTAGATATTTCACACGAATACGGATTAATTGACGTATGCAATTATTTTCTGTCACTTCCGGTTTAACAGGAAATCACTATAACTTCCTTATTTTAAATGGGTCACCCGGTATATTTTTGCTTAGTTCGATAGAAAATGACATTCCGAATACAATAACACTCCAATTTTGACTTTTTGTGTTTTGACCTTCGATTTATTAAATTTTTGAAATCCAATCCAGAGTCCCATGAGCTCGATAAAACGGAAGATTTTGGATCAAGTAGTCGAGGAAAAAAAATATGATTCCCCATTACTTTTTATAGCTTCTACAGGCTCGTTTGAAATTTGGACTACCTGATCCAAAATCTTCCGTTTTATCGAGCTCATGGCACTCTAGATTGGAATTTAAAAAAATTAATAAATTGAAGATCAAAACTCAAAAAGTCAAAAATGGGGTGTTATTGCGTATTCGGAATGTCATTTTCTATCGAACTAAGCAAAAATATACCGGGTGATCCATTTAAAATAAGGAACTTATAGTGATTTCCTGTTAAACCGGAAGTGACAGAAAAAAATAATCCGTATTCGTGTGAAATATTTACATACCAAATTTAATTTGTTTATCTTGAAAAATAAAAAAGTTATAGGGATGAGCCACTCTCTAGGGACAATCGGTATAATCCAGAATAAACGCGATAATCTTTTTACCTGAATAAAGCAGTATTTTCTAGATTCCAGAATCTAACTTATTCTGTACATGCTGGCGAACGCGCCACAATATGTATATGTTTACGTATCTGAGTGAGACTTTTTCTCTCAAACCTTTCTGTATCCTGATTACGTAGTCGTCTTGCTGTTCGTTCAACTCCTAACTCATGATTATAGTCTACATCTGATTGATCGTTTAGCAAGAACTCTTTCGCGAATGAGATTGCCAAGGCTTCTGCCTTTTGATAACTAGTGTGTTGCGACCCTACAACAATAACATGGTTGAACTGTCAGTTATGAGTTGCCTTTGCATTTTCTATGCGAAATGTTTTGATTTACTGGGCTTATCATCTTGTCATTAAGTCCCCTTCTAAAGTTCCTTCAGTTGGTCATTTGCTTTTGAGTGTTTTCTCGTTATTAACTGGACTATGATCTAGAGTAATATCTTCAATTTTTCCTGCGACATTCCAAATAACAGCTATGTCAAATTATTCTGATCGACCAGATCCAGGCAGTAGCAGCGTCGATCGTTCCTGTCGTTCTGTGGTTCCTGTCTGATGACAGACGCCAGTGTACTCTTTAAATCTACTACCGTTTGTATTCTTGTTCAAATTTTAGGTTGGAAATTTGCTGTTGAGTGAGGTCTCCAATTTCCTGTAGTACATAGATAATTTGCTCGGCTAAATTATTCCTCCAAAAACCAACTCGTCGAATATTCAAGTCGTCAGCCATACAGAATTCGAAGGCTTTCTCTTTTATTTTACAGTACCCTCCTTAGAGCTGTTCGTCACGTACTGCTTCTCCTGGTAGCATCCAAGTCGATGTATTTTGCCTCTGTAAGGACTCAGTGCTTCTACGTGAAGAACCTTTGGCTTGGCTTTAGGCAAAAGTTGAATCCTGTACACTATAAGTATTTGATCTTCTTAGTTACGATACTTACCGATGTATGGTTTTTTCCACGGTTCTTGTGCTTAGTCTCTCCTTTCGCTATGGCTGAACAACCGGACGGCGTCATTGAAGGTATTCGATGAATGGATTGCCGTTTGTCGCGATCATCTTCATTTTGTCACTGTTTAGACATAGTCTGGCGAAATCGTGAACCTCTCTGAGTCTATTCTGAAGATCAACCAAATAAACTAGAAATACAACTTTGTATTCATCAGCTAGTGGTGTGCTAAACATCAAATCTTCGCCCGTCGGGGACATTCATTTCTCTTCCAGCGCCACTTATCTGTCTTATTACTGAATCACATACAAATAGGATGGCAAGTCCACTGGTTAGCAGAGCTGTGGATGAATTCATATTCCACAAGTAAAATTAATCTTTCACATCTGGTGCAGAATGATCTGAACAATACAATAAATAACTTTGTTTATACACTTTGACCATGAATCTATAAAACATATTTTGTAGGCCCCATGCCCAGACAGTTATAGAGGCAAATATCGCGATGACGAATACGCAGCCGAAGAAATTGGAAGTTTATATGCTGATGACATAAGAGAACTATGTGAAGATTCCGAAAAATTAGGAAACGGAGTATCTGCCTTCATCGCTGAAAGTCTTTTGAGTTGTGGGGGACAAGTAATCCCACCGACGAACTATTTTTCGGAAGTCTACGACCACGTAAGAAAAGCTGGGGGAGTTTGCATTGCTGATGAGGTTAGTACCTATAATTTATACTATACTCTTAATTATTAAAATGAAACTTGCTAGGTCCAAGTAGGATTTGGTAGAGTTGGCAAACACTGGTGGGCATTCCAACATTACGATGTTAAACCTGATATAGTCACTATGGGCAAGCCCATGGGTAATGGACACCCAGTTGCCTGTGTAGTCACCACAAGAGCCATTGCTGAAAGCTTTTTTAATACTGGAGTAGAATATTTTAACACTGTAAGTATGATAAGTGACATTTTTAAGCAAAATATTAATCAGTGGTGTTGTAGTATGGTGGTAACCCAGTATCTTGCGCCATTGCCAACGCAGTATTTGATACTATAGAAAAAGACAATCTAATGGAACGAGCTAGTGTTGTTGGTAAATACTTGTTCGACAGTTGCCAAGCTTTGGCAAGTAAGCATAAATTTATTGGTGAAGTTAGAGGACTTGGGTTATTTGTTGGCATCGATTTGGTTAAAGATCGTGATTCTAGAGAGGCTTATACTGAATGTGCTAAGACTGTAGTCCAAAGGTAAGAAGTTTTTGTTGAAACCTTACAAAAAACAACGGTCCAGGTTTTTTTCGTTGTTGAAGGCCATGATACTGGAACAAGAGCGAAATGCTTTTTGAGTCGTCTAACGCATCCTCGTTATGCGGGAGATATACATATAAGGTCTGTTCGCGCAGAAATCACAAACCAGCCAGGGCGAATTCGTTGACTGAAAAGAGTCAGAAAACTAATTTCAACCAATGAAATTCACTCTGACTGGTTTGTGATTTCGTGCGAACAGACCTTTCACGATCCAAAAACTCAACAGATGAATTTAAAATAAAAATCCAAAATTTCTTATATCATCTCCAAATACTCAAAATATTCTCATTTGTGACAAATTTTTCTATTAATTTTTTTGCTTGTGTATAGGTAGTTTTTTTTTCCAACTTTCGCATACTTAAATTATGGATGATTCACGACCAGACGTTATGATGTACCTATATCAGCGAAGAACTGATGGTCAAGTTCAGCCTAGGTCTTCGGGCCTGCCGTCAAATTCCGAACAAAAGTAGGCACCTACATTAGATTCTTGTTAAGTGTGCGAAAGTTGAAAAAAATTTGTAAACGCCTCCTGGGGATAACATCTAGAAAATTAAATTTTTCTTATGTTACCCTGAAATGTACTTATCCAATTCGCGCCACTGAAACGAATATGTTTTCCCAGGTAGCGATGTTTTGCATTATTCATCTTTCCGATGGGCTTGTATGGAAAAATCGCTCAAAATTTCGATTTTCCCTTAAAAGATTATTCCCTCATTCCAACTCTTGAGCCACCTGCAACAATCAAGCCTTTGGTTTTCTGAAGCCAGGTTCTAATAATCAATCCTTTAGAGAAAACGGCTTGCGTTAAAATATGGGCGCCCCCACCCCCTCAGCTCTTATTTCTGTTGAGGAAAATAGAATTTTCTATATGTTATCCCAGGAGCCACTCACACCTTATATACGAAAATGGAGCACTCAAATCTAGTACTATCTGACGGTCCTTATCTTATTTTTGAGTCGACATAATATCAGTAGACTAGATGGGTCACAAGTTTTTGACAGTCGATATACCTCTATAATTTTGGGAGGCTTTAGTATCATGATAGATATAGATAGCAGGTAGTCTCAGGCAGCTTCCAATCTCTATTGCTTTAAACTTTTTACATAAAAGTTAACAACATTCATTTTTTTTTTCAGGATGCGCGAAGAACATATTTTAGTAAGCTCAGATGGTCCAGAATGCAACGTCATCAAATTCAAGCCTCCCATGGTTTTCACCAAAGAAAACGTTGATAAGGCTGTTTCAGTCTTAGACAGGGTTCTAACTGAAGTCAGACACAAAGAAAAACTCGATGCCAAAATCAAAAGTTTGCAAAACCTTGTTCCCTCTATTCTAGCAGATCATCCCACCAAAGGCCAAAGTCCCGTTGTTAGGCCTAGCTATAAGGAAAATATTAAGTCTATATAAATTTCTGGATAGAACTCTAAGATTATTTATTTTGTACAAAGTTTTAGGTTTTAAACATAGTATTATTTCTCTAAATAATTTTTTAATTTACCTATATTAAGTAAAATCGACTAGTTATTAGATTTTTATATCTGCATGTATCTACATAGGTGCTAGAATCAATTTAATATTGAGAAAAAATAAATAAAAATAGTTATGCTTATTGATAATGTTTTATTTCCAATAATAGCACAATATTCTTCACTAAATTATTCACTCCCAATTTAATGGTGGGTTCCTTGCAGCCTTTGCTCCCTCTCCTGTAGCTTTTTTGTTCATATGTGGACAATATGTTGTTTTGGTTGGATGGAAATCGATTTTATTTGAATGTCTTACTGTGGTAATCTCATAAATTGGAGGTCTGGTAGTTTGCTGGGGTTAATATTTCTCTCGCTTTTAGATTCAATGAAGGTTTTACTCTCTGTTATCTTGTTAGGTATAAATAGTGTGGGTTCTTATTCTGATAATGTCTCTAGTGAGGCTTCCATGTGTAGATTAAATTGTTTATACCCGTTCGTAGTAGTGTAACTGGTCTGCATCTGAACACTTTCAGTTAA